GCGTTCCATCCCCAAATTCCCTGGCATTTTTGAACAACAACAAAAAAAAAAAAATCCCCAAATTCCCCGGCGTTTCTTTGACCACCAACCCCCGCTTTTCCCGGCGTTCCGGCCCCGAATTCCATGGAATTCCCTGGATTTCAGGATCGACGAGGAGCTGCTGGGGGATGGGCACAGCTACAGCCCCCGAGCTCTTCACTCGTGGCTCACTCGGGTCCTCTACAACCGGCGCTCCAAGATCAATCCCCTCTGGAATTCCGTGCTCATCGCCGGCGTCTACGGTGGGGAGAGGTGAGCGATCCCGGGATGGGAAATTCCAGGGATTTCTCCTTTTTTTTTTTTTCCCTTTTGGAAATTCCTGGGTTTTTTTAGCTGGGCTGGTGTTGTTTTCCAGGGAAGTTGTGGGGTTCTTCGCAGGGTGGGTTGTTTGTCTTTTCCTCGGGGAAATTCCTGCTCATTCCGTGGGGAAATTCCTGATTTTTCCCAGGGAATTTTCTGTTCATTCCATGGGGAAATTCCTGCTCATTCCATGGGGAAATTCCTGTTCATTCCATGGGGAAATTCCTGCTCATTCCATGGGGAAATTCCTGCTCATTCCATGGGGAAATTCCTGCTTTTTCCCAGGGAATTTCCTGTTCATTCCATGGGAAAATTCTGGTCATTCCACAGGGAAATTCCTGCTTTTTCCCAGGGAATTTTCTGTTTATTCCATGGGAAAATTCCTGTTCATTCCATGGGTAAATTCCTGCTCCTTCCATGGGGAAATTCCTGCTCATTCCATGGGGAAATTCCTGTTCATTCCATGGGAAAATTCTGTTCATTCCATGGGGAAATTCCTGCTTTTTCCCAGGGAATTTCCTGTTCATACCATGGGGAAATTCCTGCTCATTCCACGGGGAAATTCCTGCTTTTTCCCAGGGAATTTCCTGTTTATTCCATGGGGAAATTCCTGCTCCTTCCTCAGGGAATTTTCTGTTTATTCCATGGGGAAATTCCTGTTCATTCCATGGGGAAATTCCTGCTTTTTCCCAGGGAATTTCCTGTTCATTCCATGGGGAAATTCCTGCTTTTTCCCAGGGAATTTCCTGTTTATTCCATGGGGAAATTCCTGCTCCTTCCTCAGGGAATTTCCTGTTCATTCCATGGGGAAATTCCTGTTCATTCCATGGGGAAATTCCTGCTTTTTCCCAGGGAATTTCCTGTTCATTCCATGGGGAAATTCCTGCTCCTTCCATGGGGAAATTCCTGCTTTTTCCCAGGGAATTTCCTGTTCATTCCATGGGGAAATTCCTGCTTTTTCCCAGGGAATTTCCTGTTAATTCCATGGGGAAATTCCTGATTTTCCCCAGGGAATTTCCTGCTCATTCCACGGGGAAATTCCTGTTCATTCCATGGGGAAATTCCTGTTCATACCATGGGGAACTTCCTGCTTTTTCCCAGGGAATTTCCTGCTCATTCCACGGGGAAATTCCTGCTCCTTCCTCGGATAATTCCTCTTCCTCCTTCCCCAGGAAATTCCTGCTCCTTTTTCCCCTCTCCCCGTTTTTTTTCTGGCAAATTCCTCCTCCCTGCTTCCTCCTCCCCAGGGCAATTCCCTCTTCCCAACTCTTCCGTATTCCCGAGGCTCTTCCTGCTTTTTCCCGGGGGAATTCCCGCTTCCCGGGCCTGATTCCCGCTTTTCCGTCCCGCAGTTTCCTGGGATACGTGGACATGCTGGGAGTGGCCTACGAGGCGCCGTCGCTGGCCACGGGATTCGGGGCTTACCTGGCCCAGGTGAGTCCCAGCTCCTCCCTTCGTTAGTTCAGGGTTAATTAATCTTTAATTCATTATTTTTTTGTAAAATTAATTCATTCTTAATTAATTAATTCATTTATTTATATGCTTTTTAATTTCATTTATTTAATTATTTAATCGCTCCTTTTCAATTATTTTTTTTTTTTAGCTCGTTGTTGTTTCTGTTGGTAATTTTTTAATTGTTTTTTTTGGTTTCCGTTCTTAATTTTTTAGTTAATTTTAAAATTCTTCAATCCATTTGCTTAATAGTTAATTTTAAGGTTTTTTTCTATTTAATTAATCTTTTTAATTTATAATTTTAAAATTAGTTGTTTAGCTCATAATGCTTTCGATTAATAATTTTTAAATTTTTTTAATCATTTTTTCGTTCTTTTTTAGTTTATATTTTTAGCTCATCATCTTTTAATTGAGTATTATTTAAACTAATTAAAACTAAAATTTTTTAATTTTTTAGCTCATCGTTTTTAAATTGATTCTTATCTCAGTTCACTAATTTGCAACTGATACTTTTTTTAATTCAGTAGTTTTTAACTGATTGTTTTTATTTTTAGTTCATTAATTTTTAATTGATTAATTGATTTCTCCGGGAGAAATTCCTCCTTTTTCCAAGGCAAATTCCTCCTTTTTCCCATGAAAATTCCCTCCTTTTTCCCATAAAAATTCCTCCTTTTTCCCACAAAAATTCTTTCTTTTCCCAAGGGAAATTCCCTCCTTTTTCCCATGAAAATTCCTCCTTTTCCCAGAGGAAATTCCCTCCTTTTTCCCATGAAAATTCCTCCTTTTTCCCACAAAAATTCCTTCTTTTCCCAGAGGAAATTCCTCCTTTTTCCCATGAAAATTCCTCCTTTTCCCAAGGGAAATTCCCTCCTTTATCCCATGAAAATTCTTCCTTTTTCCCATGAAAATTCCTCCTTTTCCCAAGGGAAATTCCCTCCTTTATCCCATGAAAATTCCTCCTTTTTCCCATGAAAATTCCTCCTTTTCCCCCGGGAAATTCCCTCCTTTATCCCATGAAAATTCCTCCTTTTTCCAGGGAAATTCCTTCCTTTTTCCCATGAAAATTCCTCCTTTTTCCCATGAAAATTCCTCCTTTTCCCAAGGGAAATTCCCTCCTTTTTCCCACGAAAATTCCCCCTTTTCATCCCGCAACTCCCAAATCCTCTTCCCTTCTCATTTCACCCTTTTCATTCCCTTTTCTCCCTGAACTTTTTTAATCCACTCCACAACCGGGGGGGTTTTTCCCGACGATTTTAACCCCGGCATTCCCGTTTTTTCCCGTTTTTTTCCCGTTTTTTCCCCGGAGCAGCCGTTGCTGCGGGCGGCGCTGGAGCGGGATCGGCTCCCGAGCCGGGAGGAGGCGCGGGAGCTGCTGGAGCGCTGCCTGCGCGTGCTCTACTACCGCGACGCTCGCTCCTTCAACAGGGTTTGTATCCCAAAATCCCGGGAATCCATCCCAAAATCCCGGGAATCCATCCCAAAATCCC